GTTTCTTCTTATAGGTCTTAGTACCCATTGAGTCGCTGCAGCAGCAGCAGCAGCAGCAACAGCAGCAGCAGCAACAGCAGCAACAGCAGCAGCAGCAGCATTAAAGTCCGTAAGAAAAGGGCTCTCATTTCATCTGTCTAGCAGCAGCAGAAACAACAGCAGCAGCAGCAGCAGCAGGTGCCTGCCTGCTGCTACAGCAACTGCAGCTGGCTAGCGGCAGCAGCAATTGCTGCTGCAGCAGCAGCAGCAGCAACAGAATCAGTGTTACTTGATTACAAAGACGCAGGTATGAACCTGCTGCAGCAGCAGCGGTTGCTGCTCAGCATCGCAGCAGCAGCAGCTGCGGTGTAAGCACGAGCTGCTGCTGCTGCTGCTGTGTCTTCCAATAGCAGCAGCCACAGCAGCAACAGCAGCGGCAGTAGAAACAGCGCCAACAGCAGCAGCCACAGCAGCAGCGGCAGCAGCAATATCCGCAGCAGCAAGTGCAGAAGCAGCAGCAGCAGAAGCAGCAAGCAGCCATGGGCAGGAAACCGAAGCAACGAAGGTCACCCGCTGCAGCAGCAACAGCAGCAGCAGCAGCAGCAGCAGAAAGTGCTGCTGCTAATAGTATTGGTGGTCTTCATAACGAGGACAATGCAACAGCAGGTAGTCCTGTTGCTGCTGCTGCCTCAGCAGCAGCAGCAGCAGGCTGCAAAGCATCAGATGCATGCACCAGCGAGGATTTGAGTACTGCATGCAGCCAATCAGGAGACCTCGCTGCAGCAGCAGCAGCAGCAGCTGATAATGCTGCTGCAGCAGCAGCTAATAATGCTGCAGGAACTGGCAATGCTGCTGTACCTAAAAAGGCAGCAGCAGCTAATGATGCAGCAGCAGCAGACCAGGCTGCAGCAGCAGCTAATGCTGCTGCTGCTGCTGCAGCTGACAGTGATGCAGCGGAGAATGCACCAGCAGCAGATAATGCTGCTGCTGCTGCTGCAGACAATGCTGCAGCAGCTGCTGCTGCTGCTGTTGACAGCCTGCAGGTGAAAGGAGAAGTAGACAGCAGCAGAAGCAGCAGCAGTAGCTGCAGCAGTAGCAACAGCAGCAACAGCAGCAACAGCAGCAGCAGCAGCAACAACAACACCACCAACAACGGCAACAATGACAGCAACAACAGCAACAGCAACAGTAACAATGACAACAGCAACACCAACAACAGCAAGGACAATGACAGCAGCAGCAGCAACAGCAGCAGCAGCAGCAACAGCAGCAGCAGCAACAGCAGCAGCAGCAACAGCAGCAGCAGCAACAGCAGCGAGAGGGTGGTCCGTTTGTGCTGCAGTCGTTACCAGAACTTAAAGAGAGATGCCTCCAAGTCTGCTGCTGCTGCTGCTCGCTCCGCACAGATTAGTAAGCAGCAGCAGCAGCAGCAGCAGCAGCAGCAGCAGCAACAGCAGCAGCAGGAAGAGCAGCGACAACAACACTCCCTGTTTAAAGGATTTAGGGTTTAGGGTTTAATTCTCTTATAAGAGGTTTTCAATAAACACCCTAGGGTTTAGGGTTTAGGGTTTAGGGTTTAGGGTTTAGGGTTTAGGGTTTAGGGTTTAGGGTTTAGGGTTTGGTGTGTATTCAGGTAGTATGTTAGCATATCGTGGACTAAAGGGCCCCCAACATGAATCTCTTCTTAAATTGCTGAGGGAGGGGGCCCCCCTTCCTTTTTCTTTACCTGCTGCTCCTGCTCCTGTAGCAGCAGCAGCAGCAGCAGCAGCAGCACGGCCAGCAGCAGCAGCAACAGCAGCAGCAGCAGCAGATGCTGACAGCGATGGAGAGCAAGAGGAGACAGGAATTGATTTTTCTTTCTTTGTCAATCCTTTTAGCTCCTTTGCTGCTGCTCCCTCTACCAGCAGCAGCAGCAGCAATAGCAGCAGCAGCAGCAACAGCAGCAGCAGCAGCAGCAGCAGCAGCAGGGATGCATGGGGCCCCCAATTAGCAAACCCTAATTGGGATGATTTGCTGCTGCAGCGGGTAGGCAGATTCCCTTGCTGCAGCAAGCAGAGGTCTCCTTTGCCTGCAGCAGCAGCAGCAGCAGCAGCAAGAAAAGCTGCACTGCATGCACAAAATAATCTTACACCTAATGTTGGCATGTAAGTTCCTCTTGCTGCTGCTGTTGATACTGCTGCTGCTAGATATCCTGCTGCTGCTGCTGCTGCTGCTGCTGCTGCTGCTGCGTGCTGCAGCAGCAGCAACTCTATTGTATCCTTGTGTGTCTCCTTTTGTCTCCTTTTGCTGCTGCAGCAATAGCGCGAGGCCCCTCTTTACTTGGGTTAAGCTGCGGCTAGGTATGTTGCTGCTGTTGCTGCTGCTGCTGCTGCTGCTGCTGTTGCTGTTGCTGCTGCTGCTGAGGTATGTATATCCTTTAGAGTCTCTTCTTGCAGCAATGAACTATCCTCATATCTGCTGCTGCTGCTGCTGCTGCTGCTGTTCCTTTTCTTCCTCCTCTTCCTCTTCTTCTTCCTCCTCC